ATGGCCATTCACTCCCCCTCCCTTGGGAATGAGATCTCATTCCAGCTTATTCCAATTATAATTCTGATTCCCGTCTGAACCAAATGGACCCTTAGCTTAAAGTGTTATGAGATGTAGATTGGGCTTGGGGGCGGGGGCTATGGATTAGGCCATTGGATGTGACAAGGCTCAGTTTCCAATTTGTTGTTTGGGGGCTCATGGCAAGCTGTGTTGTGCTAGTGGACTTCAAGCTAGTTCCTTGCACTTTTCTACTCTAACTGTTTTCTTAATGTTTTGTTTAGATCTTGTTAACAATCCAATAAAGAAAACTACATGCTTGGATATCCTTCAAAACTATATTAAAGTTGTTATTATAAAATAAAACCACAATTAGTGATTAAAATCCCTATAGAGTTAAAAGAATCAACTCGCATGAAAACTTGGTATTGATCTTTAAATCAGTATTGTGATGAGAACCTCTGCCTCAATTCATATATGGATTAGTGRTGGATACTTAATCAAGTAAATGAACTTTCAGATCAATTTATTGTTTATGGTGAATATTTAATACACTTCCCGATCAATAATTATTTTTACATTCACTCACTTGCACCAGTAAGTGATTACTACTTGGCGGGAATTCAAGATCAGATATTAAATAAAAATCATGAAAAACACCATTCAATTCAAGGATCCATCCCCATGAAAGTTCAAACTATGTTCTCTCTAAAGTACAAAAAAATAAACTAATGCAGACATGGAAGCAAGGAAAAAAACCATAAGTTTCTCTATATGTCCAGCACCAAGGGCTTTTTTTTTTTAATTTTCGGTGATCTGATTTTTTTTTCTTTTTTGTTGTCAATTTGAGTTTTCTAATAGTTGCATTCTGATGTGCTAATTTCTTAGGAATGGGATTGTGATCTTAAAGTGTCACAATAGTTTAAAGAGTCTTTCTTCCCTTTTTTTTAACCCAAAATTACTCCACAGCCCCGGAGTGGATCCTTTTTTTAAAGGAATTTTATTAATTCAGAAAAAATGGCATTTTTAAGAGATACAACYACTAGCACC